ATATATAAGATATATATATATATATATATATATAAATCTTTGCATAGATCAATCCAAATATGTACAAACAACTTGGACCAATCACAAACATAAGAAGAGACTTCTACACAAAAAAGTAAAGGGAACAATGGTATAATTCAATGTAGTGCAAGGTCTTACATTAAATGTATTATGTTAAAGATATAAAGAACCTATACAAATCATTTTAAAACCTGTTTTAAAATTCTGTTCCATACCTGTAACATGCCTTCCATATCTAGCTGCATTAACTCTGTCTGATTCATCTGGAGAACAGCGAGGCCTGCTCGAAAAACAATCTCTAAACCCTAAGAAAAAAATAAATAAATAGATACAGAACTAAAAACTAATATTTTAGCATAGAATATCCTACATAAACTGGAAATGGCAACAGTAACCTGAAATATGCAAAGTCACACTATTGAAAACTGATGATTAAACCCTAATGGTCTGAAATATTGGAACCTGTACACACCATACAAATACACTGATATTAAACCCTTTTTTGTTTTTAATTCAGCACTGTAGACCCACACTTAATGAGCTTTTTCTTTTAGTTTTAAATTGCCCTATTTTTTTTTCCGCGTTTCATACCATGGCCCCTCCAGTGTTATTTATGGGCGTCTCCTTTGCCAAGCAGGTTGCAAAGTAGACATCTGTGTGTGGGTTTCCAGCCAGGAAGTGAGCAGAGCTGTGTGCGTCCACTGAAACGCACAGTTCTCAACAAGTCACGCCCCTGTTTGCGCTTCCTCCCACCTCCCAGCAATTTGATAGGCAGCTGCAGCAGCCCATTACTACACCCTGTCCTCAGTGGCATGAGGCATATGTGAAAGAGCTCAGTGGCATACTACAAAACTACATTGCTAATAACATATTAAACACTGTACTATGACAGAATTCACCCACATATTTTATAGCGCTGCACAAACTGCTGGCGCTATATGAATCCTGTATAATAATAATGATAATACTTGTTAATAAGATAGTACTGTACATCCCATAAGAAACACTGCTAAAATCTACTGTATCTAACATTTATATAAACATGCTATAAATTACACTCCTCTACAACCAGACACGCTGGTTAAACAATTAGGCACGTTAGATGCAACTTATTCTTCAAAACATTCACTTGAAAAATCAGTCAAACCATCATTTTTGTTTTAAGTTAAAAGTAAAGAGTTAAAGCCAAATGTCTGAAAAAAATTGGATTTTAAAATGGGGAAAGGCTGGAGTCAGGTTTTTATGGATGCCTGTAACCTGACTGGGGAGATCTCCCCCAGGACAGGAAGTAATGTAGAATCTCTCCAAAAGGGGAAATCATATCACATTTTTAGCACAGTAAGGACATCAGCACTGCAGGAACTCACACAGGTCTGCTGATTTCATATTACCAAGAATGCACAATGAGAGATGGCTTAAAAGTGAAATGGAAAAACACACCAACTATGGCACGTAGCTTTCTCTACTAAGGTCCTCAAGCCTTAAAGCCTCCGTTTACTCCCACGAAGAATGCATCTAATATTCTTATGAAGCACAGGATAGGTGGGAAAATAATGTACTATTTACACTATATGTATCTATATGTAGCAGCAAATGTCCACTGCAGCACTGAGCAGCAGAAAGTGACTGACAGCTTAATTCCAGACAGGCAAATGTGATGTTACCAGATGATTAGGTGCATCTCTCTGTCAATCTCTATTATTCGGAAAAAGTAATCTAACTGTACCCACATTTCCTGATATTCCACATGCAAATTCATTCTTCACCACAACAAAATACAGAACACCATGTTTGGTTTGTCCTTTGGTTACCTATACTGCAGCTTCAGACCATTTCCCAGTATTAGTCAAAACAATGCAGCTGGAGTGAGGAAATGAACACCTATCAGCAGATTATACCCATTCACTGACAGTCCAAATTGCAGCATTAAACAAGTGCTTGTGAATCAGCTTGTTTGCACATGTGTAACAAAGCGATGAAAAGCAGTTTAGACAAACAAGTGGCTAGGACTCTTAATGACTCATGGCGTCATATTTGCCATCTCACCTCAGACATAAAAATATCGAAAAGTCTTGTGGCAACCGGTAGTGGGAAACTTGTTAAAAAAATAGTCAGGAACCAAGATGATGCATACATAGAGGTATGAAAACTCTGGGCTTGAAAGTGCACATGGAGCTCTGGAAGCTGCTCCTGGAAGAACAAAAAACATCAGAGGCTCAACAATACATATCACAATGAAGGAAACCATTGCAAGTTTCCCAAGATTTCTGTGTCTACCTAAATTCATTTTAAAAAGAATGCAGTGTTTTTGTATACATTTTCTTTGGGTTTTATATTTTATGCAAAAGTTTTAATTTTTTTGAGGACAAAAATAGGTGGCATTGAATCAGTCATGATTAAAAAAAAAAAATATATATATATATCATACCGCCAGGGAGGTATAAAAACGAGCGTCGAACGCGCGTTTCACTGAACTAAAAAACTTGCTAAAAAACTTATATATCTATCTATATAGATATATAGATCTATATATATATAGATCTATACACATACACACGAGCCTATTCATTTTGTGTGTTGAGTGGACATTATTCATAAAAGGGTAAAAATTATAAATAGAAATATGTAAAGTTTTAGTATTTAAACTAATAAGAAAATATAACGTAACTAAAAGAATACTGAGCAAATTAACGTAGAAGGCAGGCTAATGATTTCAACTTTCTACAATTAGTGCCGCTCTGAAAATACAAACAACCACCAAACACAGCTGGCTGCAATACGTATGTATTACTTTATTTGCATTAGTTTCCTTTTAAGAAGTCAGCTATATACCTGCAATTTAAATAGGAAACCCAAACTACTCTCAATATTGTCACTGTTCTATACATCACAAACTCTGGGCCCGGATGCTACCCATGCTATGGTATGACTGGCACCTTCATTAATCTACAGAGATTTATTAATCTACAGAGATGAATGAAACTGCCACGAGTGCCCCAAAGCTGTCAAGGCGGGGTAGAGCTCCATCTGAAATGCAGTTCACCTCTTGGTCTGTCCAAACCCTTACTTTTACTTGATCGTGCAATGGATTTTTGTAGTGTAGAGGCTGTTATATTCAGGTATATTTTACAATCACAAATAGTATAAAGGAAGGTCTGTGCTTAGTGGACTGCTCGTAGATAAACAAGGCTGGTGATAAGACAACTACAGCACGTACCTAAATCCATTGCAATGGTTGTGGCACTGCCCTACTTCTAATGGTCCATTCACTATAGAATGGGAAGCAATTTTAGGTCAAGTGTATGGATTGAAAGCCAAAACGCCCAGGTGTCTGTCCCTATAAGAGTGGACAAAGTGCTTGAAGAAGACGGCATTGTATCAATTAGGCAGTGCCGGGGGCGTGGCTTGGACATGGCGCCGTGAGCACACGCACTAGGAGAGCTCTGCAGCCACTGAACCGGACCGACGTCTTAACGAACTCTATGCCCTGAATTCCTTCATGCCCAAGGAGCAGAGGACCCACAGCACCCACGGTGACCCCAGATCTGCCTCCCTCTGCAACTTTTTTACCCGCCAGCCGCCGATTACCGCGGCCTCGACTGCAGCCAAGATGGCGCTTACCCGCTCCTCGGCGGCCGGCCTCCTGTCAGGTAGGAAGCAGGGACGAGGCACAACAACCCTGACC